ACCCCGGCGAAAGAAACCTGCCCCAGCTGCTGCAGGCGGCACAGCTACAGTTTCCCAACCAAAGAAGACACATTCATTGCCTCATAGACTGCTGCAAAGGGTGCCAGGCTATGAAACCAGACAAAGGGGGACCACTCCACACAGGTATTTGGGTCCAGGGGAGGTCTCCAGGATGAAACTGGGAAATTGATTTCACAGAGGTAAAACCAAAAAAATACGGATATAAGTATCTCTTAGTTATAGTGGATTCTTTCTTGTGGTGGGTAGAGACTTTTCCAACTAAGCGAAAAACAGCTCAAATAGTTGCTAAAACCCTATTAAAGAAAATTATACCCCGGTATGGAATTCCTGAAACATTCGGCTCAGACAATGGTCCGGCTTTCATTAGTAGGGCCCTACAGGGACTAGCCCAGACTGTGGGGACTAATTGGAAATTACAATATGAATACAACCCCCAGAGTTCTGGACAAGTAAAAAAATAAATAAAACTCTAAAAAAAAAAAAAAAAACCTTATCTAAAATATCTGTAGAGACTGGCGGAAACTGGGTGACTCTCCTACTTTTTGCCCTGTTCCGAGTTCGCAATTCCCCTTATGTCCATGGAGTGACCCCGTTTAAGATCATGTATGGGACATCACCCCCCATACGCACTCGTACCCTCCCCTTTCTGATACCTGAAGGAACTGTAGATCATAGAACCAGCCTTCAGGCCCTCCAACGGGCTCAAGAAACAATCTGGCCCTTAGTCCGAGCACTCCATGAGACCAAGGGCTCCTTAAACCCAGAACATGGTATAGTCCCAAAAGATTAAGTCTAAGTAAAAAAACACAGGACACGCTCTTCAGAACCTAGATGGAAAGGACCTTATGTGACTCTTTTGGTTACTCCTACTGCTTTAAAGGTTGATGGAATTGGGCCGTGGGTTCACCATTTGCACACACGTCGGGCCTCATCACCTGAATACGCATGAACCAAAAAGGAATGGACCGTTCGCCAACACCCGCACGATCCTCTGAAACTCCAACTGTCCAGATCTTCACACCAGTCAAAATTCCTTCCTCAACATGATAATGATAAAGATGGTGGCGATAAGTCCTCCTTAGTGGGGGCACTGCGACAAGCCTACATCAGCCTTGTAAGCAGACGTGGGTGCTCACAGACGGGGAGACTAGTAACAATTTAAATGACACCACTCACACCGGTCCATTAGGCACATGGTGGCCGGACCTTTATTTTAACCTAAGAAACCTTTTTGAAAAAACTCGTACTAAGAAACCCTCTTACCATGTCTTAATAAAAAGAACATTGACAATTGGGGACCAAATCAAGGGGTTCTGAGCCTGTCCCGGTAATCAAAGAGCCAATTGCCGTACTTGCAGGGGAGCCGAAAGTTTCTATTGTAAGACCTGGTCCTGCGTCACCTCCAATAATAAAAACCATAGATAAAACACAGGTCACAACTCTGATTTTGTACATGTCTCTTTCCGGGAATTGGGTAACAGAGACGGGCAGAAACTTGGACCCCAACTAGCTGGAAAAATAAAAGCCTCTTTTGCAGTTGCATTGTCGTTGTCTTTTCTGCGTCTCCTTCAGTTAGACCGATCTCTGGACCCTTACAGGACATACATGCATGCGCACCTGGCATAGTCTAGAACTATCATGGCCAGCCATGTGGGATTCCAGTGCCTGAACCACTACGCCACCTGCTGGCCCCAGGAAGGAAATTTTTAAAAATAGAGAATTCAAAATTCTAGTTGCAAGAGTACTATTGATCTCAATTCGAAGGGATCACGGTTTGTTAGAATAATCATGGACAAATTAACTACCCCTTCTTTCCTTTATAGAAGAGCACTGGTGACTTCTCATGTCACCAGCAAGAGGATTTGCTTTCTTCCGACAAATGTCTGGAAGTTTAGTTTGGAATCTGTGTGTTTCCTTAGGCAGCTGACTGTCAGGTTGCCTGAATCCCCTGAGGTGCTTAATCTCCAGTAACACGTGAGGACTAGGGGGCCTCAAGGCTGAGCAGCGACCCCAGCTTTGTGCTTCCAGCCGGCCTTGCACCTCCCAATTGTCCAAGCCCCCAAACCAGAGTGCACACTTGAACTCTTCACCTGATGAGAAGATCCAGGCTACAATGTGGGGGTGGGGGTCTGGTCTGAGGACTCACACTGAGCCTTGAAGGAGGCTACCTGCAATCCTCCCAAGGACCTTGGGTTCTTGAAGCCACTTTTCACCCATGGAAACAGCTGGCTGATAAAGCAGGGCCTTCCGTGAGTCAGCAGAAAACTGAGTCAGTCTTGTGGATTTGGAGCAGGAGGGTGTGGGTGGAATTTGTCAAGACTCCAAATGGAGTTTTGTGGTCATGGAAATAGTTTCATTTTACTAGCTGCAAGTCAACCAGCATTCTTCTGCTAGAAGCAGAAGACCTAAAGTTAAAAATAAGCCAACCTTTTCTTTTGAGGCAAGGTAAATCACAGCCCTAAAATGAGCACTGGGGCACAAGGACCTGCCTCATTTTGGAGATTCAAGGGGAAGGCTCAGTAACAAGGGGTTTCTCCCATGAGGCAGGAGAGTCAGTGGGAGAGGTTGCCGAGCGTGGCGGGCCTGGACTGAAGCAGTGCTGTCCTCCTCTCCTGTTCTCAGGCAAGGAACAGGGACTCAGAGCCCCAGTATTCTATCCAGGACCTCTGGGAAACAACTGCTGTGTGTAGCAGGGTGTGTGCAGGCCCGGACAAACATCAGTACTCAGCTGCTCCCGCCATTAAAACACTGGGCTGTTTCCATAGTACTTGGTAAACAGACATTGACCCAAGCCCTTTGTTTGCCTCCCCACGACCAGCTCTCCATCCCCTCCCTGGAATTTTATGAACTTCCCTGGGATCTAGAAACTAAAAAGCCTATTTCCCAGCACAGCAGGGCATGCAGAAGATCTCATCCTCTCTGTTCTCAGGAAAGAACCCCAGTAACGAAACCCAGAATTCAAAGGTTGGTGGTGAGAGCTCGAACCGTCTCCATCGGAAGGAAGCCATGGTTTGTTGGGGGAAATGATGGACAACCCAATTACCCTTCTCTCCTTTGTAAAAGGGCTTTGGAGATTTTCCATGCCACCAGCAATAGGATTTACTTTCTTTCACAAATGACTGTAAGCTTCAGCACCAGGGCCAGCTACAGCCTTTTAGATCGGTTCTTTTCAACACAGTCATGGTTAAATATAGTGGCCAACACCACCGGGTATAGACTGTGTGTGTTCCATCAAATGAAGGGATTCAGACAGTAATGAGGGACCGTGACCTGGCCCTGCTCACTTGGTTAGTGGAGAGCATCCCCCATCCAGTATGCTCCAGCTATTCAGTCTTAGGTGCTGTTTTCATGTGCGTGGGCACAGACTCTTGATTTCTGCCACCATGACCTCTTCTCTATGCCACCATGCTGCGTCTCTGCCAGCAATGACCCTCTGCTCTGGGCCTCCCTGCTGGCAGCGGTCTGACCTCCAGGAAGGAGCGCTGCCCTCCGTGTGTCTACTCAACCCCAGCACGTGCAGGCCCACCTGCTGATTTGCCATGGAGACCAGAGACCAGGCCGTCACTGAGACCTAGCCCAGGTGTGGGAATAACAACAGGGAAATAGAGATAAAATATCACCTCTCTGATGGACTGGGTCTCTTCTAGGATCCTTGACAGGTCAGTTTCCCAGACTCACTCCTGATGGCCATTTTGGAGCGAGGTGGAGTTTCTCTCAGCCACTGTGAGAAGGGTCCCAGCTGGCTTCACACCTTAGAGTCTAGGCCGAGCAGATCCAGTCAAGCTCTACAAGTACGAGGAAGAAGTACTTTTATTACCTACATAGAGAGCCCAAGAGCAAGAGTTTGGTCAAGATGAAACAAAAACCAAACTTGATCAATCTCTCTTCAGAGTCTGAACAGTCTATGAAGGAGTTGGACCTCAGTCTATCAGATACAGGCTAAATGATCTCCAAATCTCATTTATCATGAGGGTGTTATATTAATATTCCCACTGTGTAAAAAATAAAAATAAAAAATAAAAAAGCAGAGGTCCAGAAAGCTTTAACTGAGGTTCCATAGCCTGTGAAGCTTCTAAAGCCTTGTGCCTGGACAATTGCTTCAAAATCCAAGCTTTTAACCACTGTGCAAAGCGCTTCTCACATAGAGACCTTGAGAGTTTGAAAAAATCTCCAATCAATGCATATTGCAAAGGTAGGAAAGGCAGGTAGAGCTTGCCAGGTAAGCATGAAGTTAAGCCTGAAGAGCGTTAGTGGGCTTTATATGGAGCAAAAGTCAATAGTGAGAAGCCTAGAGCAGGATGCATCCGTGGAACCCTTTGGAAATCTGCCAGTGGATTTCTCAGCCGGGTAATCCTCAATGTCGGGAGAGGCAGGATCAGTCACAGTACTAGTGTGCTCCAATTCTTCATGCGCTTTTCCCCTGACATGACTGGTATAAGCTGTTTAAGATCAGCAAACATGGGACCAGCAGATGGTGTAATGGTTACGTCACTGGACTCCAACAGAGTCAACTGTGGTTCAAGTCCCAGACCCAGTGATTTAAAACACACTGGGTGCGTGTGTGCATGCCTAAAATCCCAACAGGAGAATGGAGAAGAAGAGATTAAAACGTTGCCATCCCCTCTAGGGGGGGTAATTTCTCACTTTCTG